TGCTATAATTATTTTGCTTCTTTCTTAGTCTGGGGGAAAGCAAGACTCCTTTTCTCTCGTTTCCCTCTCCCAGGAGACTGACAACCTAGGGCTGGAGGGACATGGAACACGAGATACAGAGGAGTAACAATGGGAAAAGTTGTGTCTCCCTTGTATCCACTTTGCAATAGGAGAAAGTGGAGTGGATAGCTTCTTGAAATCTGTTTTCCATCCTTGTCCTCCAGCTGGCTATAGGAACTGCCACCAAGCCTACAGAGTCTTTATTAGAAACCTGATTGCTTGCCAAAGTTAGCTGTGCTCTCCCAGGAGCTGATCCAGCTGTAGGGGCCTGTGCTCCCAGTTCCCCAGAACACCATTCCCTGGGAATCCCCAACTTTGTCAGCACTATAGCTTCTGCACATGAGTGGCAAGGGACTATGAGCTTTTTTTAAAAGTAGCTTGAAAACATTCTTGGAATTCCACCAGTCCTGCATCAGTCCAAGATCACAACAGTGAGGTAATTTAGTTTTCATATAGAGACAAACCCTTAGCTATGCACCAAGGAGATATTCCTTGATCAGAGTCAGAGAACTGCTGTATATAATTGGGAAAAAAAATGAAAGAAAAAAAAATGGGGGGGGGGGCAGGGCAGAAATTTTTAAAACTGATTATTTAGGCAACAGAGATCTCTATTTTTGTCATTTTTGTCATTTCATTAGCATTTGGTTTTGTTTGATCAAGGCAATAAAGAAAGGGATGAATATGCTCAGCGTGGTATTTTGCAACTTTGGAAGTGTGGTTTGTGCACAGTTTAAAATGAAACTCGATAATAAATTGGCAGACCTGAAAAGATGAATTTTAGGAGCAACATCTCAGCATTAATTTGAACTCTTCATTTCACAGACAACACCTGGACAGCGTTTTTGAATTCAACATTAACACTGCATTCTCCTAAATGTAACAATCGTTCATTAAAATCAAGGTCTTTCATTTATGTTCATCCTCCCCCCTCTTGTGGTTCATTATAAAATCACAATTGTTACTTTCAGAAGTGTTCTATAGTTGGGCTTTCAATTCAGAAAGAGTAGAAAAGGAGCCACCAGATCTAAACAGACTGTGATAGTAATAAGCTTAAAAATGCAAATATAATAAATAATTAGCTTGTTATTCAGGCTAATTCTCACTGCTAATTCAAAAGTTCTCTGTAATCTCTGATTGAAAGCAAGTCTTGCCACAAACGATATGGAATACATTTCAGACATATATACTCTAACTATTAATTGGTTATCTTGAGCTATTGTCTGGGGAAGATTTTAGTATTTGCACTCCCTATCATTTCTTGTCTTATTAGTTTAACATACAGTATTGTAGCTATAATGCCTTGAGGCAGATTTACAGCTTGTGTAAATTGACGCAGCATTGAATGCTGTGAACTTTTGCCAGATGGTGTGTCAGCTTCTTTGTACAGGCAACTCCTTGCATTTCTTACAAAGGTATTCATGGGGTTTTCAAAGGTCTGCAGTAAGGTTAGCTTTTAGCCATGAAAATTATTAGAAGTGGACATGGATATGCATAGAGACTCAAGAAACCTCCAGTAAATTAAAGGTATGTGTGATTTGTGTCATGATAAATCTAGAGAAGCTTGTAAGTGGAAGATCAGCTAAAAAAGATTGATGGATTGATAGGAATCTGTCAGTCTAGCAAATCAGACAATGCAGCAAAGTCAAGATGAACTAACAAAATTAGTTTGGAGGATTACAACTGTTAATGAAGTCAGAAAACTGTCATGTCAAAGTTTATCACTGTAATGCTGACAACCAAACAGTTCTAGTTTAGCAGGTAAGGTAGACTATCACAATCCTTTAGCCACTATCATAACAAAAACACAGTGCTGAAATTAAACAACTCTGATTACTAGAAAAACTTCTGTGGCTGTCAGTCTACCTTTCTTCAGAGGACTCAACTGAAGGCTGCAGGAATAGGATATCAGAACTGGTTCTGTGTTCACAGGTGCAAAAGTCAAAATTAAACCTTCACACACCTGCAGTGTTTGGACTCAAAATTAAAACTGGTGGCAGATTTGCATTTTGATGAATGACAGCAGATGGTTTCCTTTTGTTATACCATAACAATAAATCTCCTGAACAGTAGAGAATCCATAAGGATAGCTTGGTGGAAAGCCTTACAGAAAGTTTCCCACAGATCAGATAATTTTTATTGAAAAAGATATGGGTTAAAACAAAAACAAAACACAAACAAACAAACAAAACAGGTATCATAAGGTGAACCAGCCATATGTGGTATTTGAAGTGGTTCAGAGAAAAAAGGAAAAACGGTGATGGGACTTCAAGGAGCATCCTTCTCTATTTTCCTATTGTGCCTGTTACTCTCAATATTGCAGAAAAATATCAAAGTGTTGTAGGGCCTAGTAATGTTTATCTTTTCCAAGATGAAGATGAGTTTGACCCCAGTAGATAATTGTGAATCAGAACAATTCTTTAACCATGTTACTCACCAGAAATCACACAATCCCGTGCATTGTATGCAAAGACTAAAAACAGAAAGCGTGTTGCCCACCAGGTAGAAGAGAGTGAACCAATGGAAATACTTTGTTTTTGCTTTTAGTTTGAGGAGAGCCGAAAACCTCCTACCCCTCACTTTCTAAGATTTTTTATTGCATGATACAATCACATCATACAGTTAGGCCAAAAACATTGGAGGTTGATAAGGTCTGTGGATTTTAAGGATTTAACAGTGCCATTAGGCATAGACTGAAAAATAAGAGAGAGGTAAATTACTACAGCACACAGCTAATGTCAGAAAACGTGCCTCCAGGCGTATATCAAAGGCCATTGTATTGCCTAAATTCTTTGTCACTGAGGGAATTATTTGTTACTGGTTTGGAGTAGCAAAATTTTGGGAAGTGCTTGAGCCTCTACAGCCTATCCCAGTAAGTAAGACAGCATTTTTTTGTGCGTAGAGGGATTGCTTCATCTTCTGCAATCCCACTTCCCTTTCCTCCCCTCTGTATAGAGGGGAGAGAAGAAGCAGATATATAAACCTGCTGCTCCTACACTCCCAGTCCCAAAGTCCAAGTAACCTACATTGGGATGCAAGAAAAGCCTTCTCTGTCTTATTGGACATTCAGTACCCATCACAATCAAGCCCCAAGAAATCAAGAGATTAAAGTTAGAACATGGTTTAAATGGATCTGAGTGAATAATTTTTAATGAATGTATTTAATGATAGATGAGTTTCCTTCCTTCTTTCCATGAAATGTGGTGAGCAGTTTGCAATTTGCTTCACACATTTCTTCCTCTTTCAAAATAACTCATTGAATTTTTTAATTTCTTTTAAACTAAGGGGTCGCTACTCCAAGCACAAACTTCCTGTTCAATTGCAGTTGGTCCCATAAATCACTTGATATTGTTTCTATCCTCCAGTCTAATGAACGTGGCTCACAGAATCAGCTTTTTGATGCATAGTCTCACAGAAAACACATTTCAAATTCACTTTTCATAGTATTCCTGTGTGAGCTTAACATTTATTTTCTGCCAACAGTCATACAATTAAAGTTTGATAACTCTATGAGCGTGTGCAGGAAATGACACCAAAAGCAACCCCAAGATGGCTGAAGATTTGCTTCCACATTTGCCCAAATATCAGTAGAAAGTGTTTCTGCATTATTCATCCAACTCTAGACCTAAACCAAATACATCTTTCTAGCAGCCTTGGAAACATGATGAAGTGTTTTAAAATTCCAGTAGATGTCACCACTTCTCCCCCAGCAAGTCTTTATGTACATCTAAAAGACGTTTTTAAAAGCTTAGTTTGCACTATATCATGAGATAATAAAGCTGAGAGGCTCATTTTGCTTTGGGTTACATCTATGTGTTTTGACAAAAAAAAAAAAAAAAAAAAAAAAAAGCACTTTTTCTAATCTGTGTCAGTGAATTAATGAGTTTATAGAACTCATATCACTATTGTAAACCAAACTAGATACAAGTTAGCTGTCAATTGCAAAGAAAGTGATGTCACTAATACAAGTGTCTAGTGTTGTATTAATTTTTCCCAAGTGATTTGATGCTTTATAAACAAAGTTTCCAGTAATACATTAATTACTATTATAGCCCTGTAATTATAATTATAGCTCTGGTTGTGATTAAGATGGGTTTTCTAGCTCATATCCATTCCCTGCAATGTTCTTTTGCTTTTATTTCCAAATTTTATAAACCCCCAAAGTAGGGGTTTATACAAAGTCTCCTGCCTCAAAACTTGGGTTCTTCTAATTTTCACTCATTATCCACCTATCTCATGAAAATGCAATCAGGTTTAAGTTACCCTGGTTTTCATGATTAATTTTTTCTCCACACACACTGGGAACAAGTGACTCACAAGTCATAGAATCACAGAAACATAGAACAGCTTGGGTAGGAAGAGACCTTAAATCCCATTCAGTTCCAATGCCCCTGCCATAGGCAGGGATACCACCCACTAGATCAGGTTGCCCAGGCCTTGTCCAGCCTGACCTTGAACACCTCCAGGGATGGGGCATCCACAGCTTCTCTGGGAAACCTGGTCCTCACCACCCTCTGAGTGAAGACTTTCCTCCTAACCTCTAATCTAATCTCCCCTCTTTAATTTAAACCCATTCCTCCTGCATTCACTGTATGCCTGAGCAAGGAGTTCCATCTTTTTTTATAAGCCCTCTTTAAGTATTGAAAACCTGCAATGAAGTTTCCCCAGAGCCTTTTCTTCTTCAGGCTGAATATCCCCAGCTCTCTCAGCCTTTCTTCATAGAACAGTCCTAGAGCTCCTACCTTATAGAAGAGGTCATGCTCTTTCTAGACAGCTGTACTCAGATCAAGATACTTTCTACTTTCCTTTTCCATTTGCACACCAAGCCTCCATGGAATCATAAATTATTTAATAAGTATCAAATGAAACTCAAGAGCAGCTAAAATCTGGATCTTTGATTAATGCCACACCACATTAACGAATATTCATTTGCTTATACTGACCTTCACTCCTTGCATCTGACAGATGTAGCATCTTTCATTGTTTTCTATAAAATGAACAACTTTTCATCACTTTATCTGCATCATGGAGTAAAACAGAAAGTCACTTACTTTGCTCTTTTAAAAGAAACATGTCTACAGAACATAACTGCAAATGTAAATATATATGTCTATTTGTGTGTGTATAAATGCACGTATGTACACACACACATACATGTATATCAGCATACGTAAAAGCACCCTATGAAAAAGCTTATCCTGATACAGCATTCTGTAGTCTAAACCCCATTTTCTGGATAACTTCAGAACATTCATTTTTTCTATAGAGACAGTTTTAACATTTATTTTTAAGAAAATGTGAGAAGACAAAGTTAATCCTCAAAAATTCCCAGAAAATATTTTGTGTGAACTTTTTCATATGACCACATGGCCCCCCAGAGAAGTTGGCTTTCTGACTACATTCATCCCTTAAGACTTTAAAGAGAATTTGGATGACTAACACTACATAATGATGATATATTTTTGATTTGTTCAACAATATTTCTGAGACTTCAGAAAGGTTCGTTTGCAGGTCTGTAGATATCTTATTAAGGTTTTGCCTGGATTAAAATAGTCAAACTCTGACTAAAGACATTTCAAATGTAAGGAAAATTTGCTCTTAAATTTTTTAGGCAGTGCAATAAGATTTAAGTACATCACTAAGGCTTTTTAAAATATCCTTATTTATATGACTGTGCCACTTGAATGGGTTAAAAACCATCAAGCTTTTTTTAGGAATATTTAAAACATTATTTCAATTCCTCTCCCACCCTCTAAAGGGGCCTCTAGATTACTGTATTGTCAATGGGATTTGTAGAATAGCAGCCAGAACTAACATGAAACTGAACAATAGCAAGATTGTACTTCTCAAGAAAAAAGCCTGCAACCTCTGGTAAATCCTTTGGCTGCTATATGAAGATTGATCCCTTTTACAAAATTCTTCTGAATGCTTTTTTTTTTTTTTCTTGTCAAACCTTCATGTTAAACTTTTAAAATTGCCTTTTTTTTTCATTTTAATTAGGTTAAAATTGAAAAAGTATTTTACTTGAACTATTAAAAGCAGTTTATCAACTTAACTAAAAGCGTATGACTGTAAGAGAATATGAGCAACTGTCCTGGAAGAAAAACTGTTTATCATCAATATTAAGGAATTCAGTAAGGTGCTTCAGTGTTACTAAAATAATGCTGTCTCTGCACAGAGAAGTATTAGTTAGGTGCTGAGTTTAATTGCTGTCTTCTAGTTTTCAGAAAAGTTTGTCATAAGCAAACAAATGTTCAAAAAGATGGCTCTTGAGCAGGCAAGAGTCCCAAATAAAGCAGAAAAAAAGAGGTATGCAGACAAAATCAGAATTATCCACAGGGCTGCAGCTCTCAGCTGTCTTGATGAGAATGGAGAGAAGGCACCTTTCAAGAAGTTTTGGAAAAAATAAACAAGTCCACAGGATACTGAATATAGGCAACAGACACCCAAATGTAATAGAAACCATGGAGCAATCTCCAAGTGAAGACAACATGGTTCAATCTTCAACAGGAGAAAGCACTTTCAGTGGGACCTTTGCTCTTGCATGTACTTCAGGCACTTCCTGGCTCTTGGCATCCTACATGAAACAGACCTTCAGTGTGAAAGGAAGGACTGAAAAACTGCTGCAAATAGCCACGGGACATCTGCTCGCTTGCCTGTGACAACAAAATTATTCCGAGTAAAACTAGAATTTCTTTTGTCCATTGAGACTGGATTCAGACTAAATGGGAACACACCACCTCTGTGAAATGTCCTGGTGCCCTGGGAAAGGGGGTAAACAAAAGCAAAAGAAGAAAACAAAACAAAACAATAACAACAAAAAATGACACCCTGTTTGGTAAATTCTTATGCAGAGGCAAACTACTGAAACTGCTGAAAATTACTGGACAGTGAAGAGGCATTTCAGGACCTTGGGACAGTTTGTAACTGACTAGGAATACTTCATACTTCTAAAATTTCTACTTATCAGCAGCCATATATTATTCTGTTGTTCACAGCTGAGATCTAGAAATAGATCTATTGTAAGTAGCCTTAGAATCTTAATGAGATATATAGTTTGTCTATTGACACTCACCAGTGAATGACCTGGTGTATTTATTCATATTCAGCAAGACCCTAGAAAACAAGGTAATGGTTAAAGAATTTTTAACTGATTTTTATCAAGACTTTTCTCCAAACTAAAGAAATTTTTGACTTTGAATAGCTTTTTAAAATAACAGTTCGTGTCTATTTGTGTTTATTTTAATTACAATACATATATATGGCTAAAACAAAAATAGAATTCTTATAATAAGATAGGTAAATTTTTACAAAATCCCTTCATTAAAAAACATTGCCTGTTTAAGATTTTTTTTTAATGAAAAGTATATCTATATTTCTTAAGTGAAAGATGCTCTACCTAAAAAATCTGAACAAGTGAAATCCTGATGTCAACAAAAGCTCTTCACCAAAAACATGTTTTAATTATTAAATTTTTAGAAACCATTTCAATTATTAGTCCTACCTCCATCACCTCAATTACAACCTTCAAACCAAAATTAAAACAGCAACAAGCTTTTTTTTTTTTTTTTTTTTTTTTTCCATCCCTCTTTTGGAGGTTGGGAGCAAAATTAATGGAGTTAAAATAAAATAATGGAGGTGCCATTCTCCAAATAAAATTAGAGGTTTTTCTGATTTAGGCAATTCCATACCCAGTATTTCAGGTATGCTATACTCTTGATGCTACACTCCCAAGATCCTAGAAAGGGACTTTGCTTCCTTCACCAGGAACATTTTGCCTTCCTTTCAAAGTAACTCTTCTTTCTCCTCTCCATTATTAAGAAATTCATGGTGCATTAATATCCTCCTTCTGCCCACCATGATTGCAGTGCATATGTTCTGTTTTCATGTTTAATAGGATAAACCATAGTTAGTGTATCATTAATATACAGTCCATTTAACGCTTCACAGGTCAGTCAAAATTAATCATTGACAACTGCAAGAACACACAGATGAGATAAAGTTCTAAACTAATAAGGGAAAAGTTCAGTGTATTTTTGACCCTTCAAACAAAAAAAAAATCTGCTCTACATAGTGCAATGAAGTAAAAGAGAACTAATCCAATTAGAAAGGCATTAGACATATAAAGAACACTACCTGGAAATCCTAAATTTCTAATTTACATTATTTCAGTTATGCCAGCAGACAACAAGGCTAAGCTGCACTGCCAGCATGTGAGATTTGCTCTGAAGGCTTTAGTGGGACTTCTGTAGAAACTGGACCTGAAATTAATAGGTAGATTTGACCAAAGAAAGATCTTTTTATACACTTAACAAGCCAGTCCTTAAACATATACTTACAATGAATACAAATCATAAAAATACCTCTGATTCAGGATGTTTTCTTATTTATATAGACAATGTTAAAAGTCAGCAAACTATCCAAGGTGATCAATGAAGAAGTCAGGACTTTCAGAGGATAAGAGAAGCAGCGAATGTATGCTGCCCAGAGCAGGAGGGTTGAAAGTAGATGATCTTTAAGGTCTTTTTCAAGCCAGGCCGTTCTGTGGTTACATGGAAGGGGCACTTGAATGAACTTGCCAATAGAAAATGGAAAAAATGTTTGAACTGGGCTCTTTTTTTTTTTGCATGAATGCTGCAGCTGAAGATTTGCTTGGACATGAAAGGAAACCATCTCAGTTAAAACCATGTCAGATTAGTAACTGCATAACAATCTACTGAGACATTTTCAACACATGACAAATATCACAGGTACACAAAGAATATATTGATATATCTTAAAGCTTGTCTATTTATTAATATTTATTTACTATGTATTATTTTTAAGTGGCCTCAAATGAAATGAGAGGTGTTAGGGAACCTAGTACCATACAAAAAAAGATGGAAAGGAACACTCTACCCCTGTAACTTTTAGATTACATAGAAAAGAGACATAAAAGAAGAATATAAACAGTTATGCACATTCATCTGATCTTTGGCAGTACAATCCAAAAATTCAATTTGAGTGTAGTGGCCAGCATTTTGGTATCTAAGTAAAATGTTTCAAAAACAGAAAAATAGACAGGATTTGAGTATTTGAGGAGAAATATTTGACAGATGGTGATAACCGTGCAAATGAGAAAACGATCTCATTTTGGTTAATCTCATAATACCAAGCTTCTTGGTGTTATGCCTTGATACAGACATAACAGAGCAATGAGACAGTATCAGCAAACACATTTTAAAACATGCCAGTCTTAGGGTTCAGATGTTGGATTTTATATTTCAGTTGTTTTCCCTGATATTGATCCATTCAAATCCAGCATCTCTGATTCACTCTAAAGGCAAGCATTAATCAGTTGTTAACATCAGGTAGCAAGACAAAGAGAAAACTAGTAACACAGTTGTGAAGCACCACGCATATGTCATCTGCAGTGTTGTTGGAAAGTATATTCTTAATATGTTGAGGAGCATATTCTTATGTGAAGTATATTCTTATATGTTGTGAAGCACCACACATAATGTCATCTGCAGTGTTGTTGGAAAGTATATTCTTAATTCAAGAAAGGGTTGCTCATAGCATGTCATTGTGGCTTCCAATACCAGCCTGAATTACCTAGAAATAGACTTCACTAATCAGCCTGTTACCTTTGATGCTGCTAGGTCCCAGCCTGTGCCTGTAATGAAAGTCCTTCCTGACTGTTATTCTGTGATCCAAGTCTGGGAGCTGTCTGGTCAAGTGCAGAAATTCCAAACACAAATGTTGACAAAGTTCTTTGTAGCTATTGAAATGCTCTCGACTATCCATACTCCTTTTCCTTATGACACTAATCGTGTGGAGGGAAAAAAAAAAAAAAAAAAAAAAAAAAAGGCAGTAAAGAAACTTAGAGCAGTCCAGCAAAGATATATGCAGTAGATTCTGTCAGTCTGGCCTACACTTGGCCTGAAGTGATAGCACCTATGAAGTGGTACATTAATGGATACTGCATTTAAAATGTTCCTATATTACTCTTGTGGTATTAATTTATAAAAGCCTCACTTCATCATCTCAAACAGCTAAGTGAAAAGCTCCTGAATATACCATTTCTGAAGTTCTCTTGACCTTTAAGAGCTAGTAATATCAGATTTGCCTATAACCATAACAAAGTTTTTTATGACTTTGAAGAGGAACATCTTCACACATTTTTTCAGTTCTTTCCTTCCTTAAGAAGCTGTTTAATCACACTCTTGTTTTAATGTGTCTTTATGCAGGAATGCATTTCCAAAGAGAAATCTCTAGAAGTCTTACTAGCTTCAATTTTGTATCTGCTTAGCATCTATTTTCTTTTTTTTTCTTTTTTTTTTTTTTTTCCTTTTCATCTCTTTTTATCTAATACTCTCTTTAGAGCTAAACATTCTGAGTTCAGGGAAAATATTTATTACTATAGCAGTAATTATCATGAGATATTTAACACTGCTTTGAAGCCAAAGCAGACAAATTTTCCACATGGAGACAGGACAATAACACAATAGCAGTACAAGACTACTCTAAATCAAAGTTGGAAATGTAAGAGGAATTTTTTCTTCTTGAAGCTCAGCTTATTACTTTTGGGGAAATAGGGGATGCTGGTTTGAGAGTGAGTTTGTTTGCTTATTTTATTTGATTTTTTCCTGGTGAGCAGTAGCTTTCCTGGTGTACGCAATGTTTTGCATTAGCTCAACAATATTTCACGTATTGTCAAGGATAGCTCACTTTGGAGACCATTCTGAGTTAGTGTCCTCTCACCTGCTTCCATTCTCCCTCTCTTTATATGCATTTTTTTCTCCCTCTGATAAGTAACATGTTATAATCTTATAATGGTCTGAGCTTGATGAGTTGGTCCAGGTATTCCTTGTTTTACAACACCAGCAAACAGGAGGAGTCATCTGGTACACATCAAACAAGAAGATAAAGTCTCACTAATTTCAAAGGGAGAGTCTGATGTTGCACAAATTTCTTTTTTGATGGCAATTGTATTTGCTACATAAACAGCACACAGAATATCAGCTGAAAAAGTGTCTTAGTTTTGTCACCAGACTAAATCTGGAATTCATCTCTCAGGACCTGAACTAATAGTTAGATGTTGAGCTGTTCAGACATCTCCTCTAAAAAAATCATCAGGACTTTTTTTTCCATAACCATTGGAAAAAAAAAAAAAAAAAAGCAGCTCCAGTGGCGTTATGTATACTCTGTCTTGGGCATTCATTCTCAAAGAAGAAGAATGGCCCACTTCTTTCTGTAGTCTACAGAAATTACTGGCTACCTAAAACTCACTACTAGCTTCTGTAGTCTAGCCTAGACTACACTTACAAAATTAAACTTCAAAGTAGATAAGAATCCCTCTAGAGCAAAGAACACTACTTCTACTCCAGATTTTCTAAACCGTTAACTAGTCTATGTCATTCCACGAAGTTTTTGTACTTTCAAGAACAAGACAATCCTGGAAATGATCAGCTGTGCTTCAGGGTACCTAGTAATTTTCCTGTTTATCCATCTTTAAAGATAGGGTGAATGTTTGAAAACACTAATTAGTACTATTGCTACTCCGAATACGAGTACAAATACAAGAGATGGCCTTTATTAAGCAATACAAGAGTAAAGAGCCATTACAAAGGGCATTTCATCTTGCTTTGGAAGTGGAAGCAAGCCTATGTAAACAAGTACATTGCTTACGATGAAAAGCATACTTCTTAAACTTTCATATTTATCGCATAATCTTCGAAGGATTTTTGTTTTGATTTTTAAAAATTTTATTCCTATTGTGAGGTGGTATTTATGTGTATTTATGCACTACAACTCTAGCGTTCTAATTTTAGCAAAAACAAACCTGGAGGTTAGCTCTGGCACACTGGCATATAGCTTCAAAGAAGACTTCCCTAGTTGATTTGACCCATTCTATTATTATTCTTCCAATGCAGGTGAAAATGCACATGGCAGTTCTTGGATCTTTTTAGAAGTCTCTTCCTGATTTATTACAAACTTTCCCTAACCTAATGAGCATACATAATGGACATATCTTGTTAGGTATATCCTTCCAAAACTACTCAAAAGATTTGTACATGATGTGACTAAAAAAATTGAGTGAGCTGTCCTGTACACTGGAAATTACTAAGTTACTTTGAAGATATGTGCATTGTTAGGTGACATTCTAAAAGCTATAGAGGACATTGATGAAAACTAGTTAAAAACTGGTAATATCTAGAAAGCTTGAAGAGAAGGGTACAAGCAGTATACCTTTCAGTTAGACATTAATGACTCAGGTGTTCTCAATGGTAATAGAAAAGGTACTGCATTAGACACATCACCACCCCTTTTTAGCTTTTAGATCCATTTTAATTTCTCTCTAAAGCAAATTAGTGGTATTAGGTCCATCACATTTGTTTTTGCACTACTGTTCCATACGTACCCTTGGGCTCTAAGCTCACTAGAAATATTAAAACTAAAAGTCACTCATTGACTGTTGAGATTAAAAACAAAAAAACTTGCCAGTGTTTTGTGTCTGTATTTCTTCTGTTGGTTTCCCCTTTTTACTTTGATTCAGTGATTATTTAGCATGGGGCAGAGCAATTCATAAACTCTTAGTTACAAAGTCTGCTTGTAAAAGTATCAATACCTGAAGTAGGCTATTTTACATGTTTTCTCCCAAGTTTTCTGGAGAATATCCCCATTCTTCTCCTTGTGTGTAAAATAAGCATACCTTTTGGTTGCAAGTGATCAATAATATGCTTATTTAAGAAGCTATTTTTATTACTTAGTTTCTTAAAAATAAAATAAATTAAATTAAAAAAAAATCAGCAAATAATTAACAGGACCAGAAACTGGAATTTAACTCTTCTATTATAACTAGCAATTAATACAAATAACACTCCCATGCAGCAGAAGTTTGTCACAGCTAAATAAAAGAGAGACTTAGGCCCAAGAAGAAGCTAGAAAGTAAAGTGAAGGATTTCTGCAAAGCATGCATTTCTAAATTACATAACCATGTGTTATTTTTGTTCCTGTTTCTTTATCTGTCAAGGACTGAAACTATTCACCCACTTCACCACCAGACAAGTACTTCCAACTCAGATGAACAAATTCACTCTTCATGTAAGTAACTCATCCAATTTACCAAGACATTATCTTGTCCCTTGTAGATACAAATATTATAAACAGAACAGGTCAGACAAATAACATCCCACATAAATGATTCATGTACTAAACACACAAAAAATTAGAAAAAAATTTATTCTATGAATAAAATGCCTGGGTTGCATACATCTGTAAACAGTTCAAACTAAAGCCAAGATTTGAACACATTGTCCAAAGTCATTGGAATGTAAATCAGTTACAAATAATCCTGCAGTTCACTGCATGTTTGTCTAACATTTCTAAAAAAAAAATACAAAACATTAAACTTACAGAACAATTTAAATGAAATTATATTTCTGACAAGCATAACATTCAGTTTCCAGAATGACTATGCTAATATTTAATTTACATGCACTCTCTATAGGTAAATGAGTCCACAGATACTGACCTATACAGATAGATGTTACAGACACCCTCTACCTTACTCTACAAACTACATAGTAATTAGTATATTAGTCCTAATTTTGATCCACACTGCATGCTTTAGCAAAAATCTTGATGTGAAATATTTTGTTTCATACTATGCTGATATTAAATGTGATTATTCTGCCTTAAACTATTCCATTTTCAATTTAAAAATTGAAAGGTCACTTTTAAAGCAAACACTGTTGATTCAGAATTCAACCAACAATAATAAAATAATATTTAAGTGTTTTTAATTACTTTTAAATTCCTAATGAATGAAGGGGAAAGGAAGAGGGATGAGTATTTTCTGATAAATCTTATCATATATAAAATAAAGTGCGTAACTTTAAGTGAAATATTCATGCCTAGCAAAAATGGTTTCAATGACACTTAAGTGATAGCAGTTCCGAACCAGGTCTTTCAATACCTATTTTTCTGCTACAAACGTGAGATCCATTTAAATGTATATTGCTTCTGTAAACAGCCATATTTATAATACGAACACATATAAACACACAATACGGGCTACGTACTTACAGGTTAAGAGTATCCGTAGTCAAATCAATTAATCTGGGTTCACATCTCTGTGTCTGAGAGCAAATTAGACTCCTTCATTGCTACTGGCCTGCTCACTGAATATTTAACCTGTTTAAAATGGCTTTAAAATGTTATGGGTCATAATGGCATTTTCTTAACAGCTACTTTAATTTACTTTACATGTGTGGACACTAAATTGTATGATACACTAATGCTGAAAAAAAAAATCATGCTTTTTTGTTGTAGCACTTTATCTTAGAAAAAAAAGTCAAAATAGGCTGTTATAAAATATCTATGACTATTTCTTTTCATTAATTTCTAATTCAACTTTCAGTGGAGCAAGTGTTTGTTGGAGAAAAGACACAATCAAGAACAGTGCTACTATGTTCACTATTAACATCAGCAAAAGCCAGGTGTCACAAGAACAATAACCAGGTTGCTGCAAAGCTGTTAGACCCTCTTTTCAGACTGCAGGATAGATTAGCATGAGAATTGGTACTGTGCCTATGCCTAGTGCATTCATTTTGTTTTTCTGTTTTTAAAGACTTTGAAATTACTAAGAGAAATATTTACTGAAAAATAGTGTTATGATTTCCAATGGCAGCCGCATTATACTTTCCTGCTCCACTTGATTGTGCTCTGAAATTATTTTTATGAGTATGAATAAATATATAAACAACACTTTTATAACAATCCCCCCTACTAAAAAAAAATGGGACTAAAAATTGGGATAAATATACATATATATATTATATAAATATACATACAAGTGTGTGTGTGTATATATATATTTAATCTTGCTACCATCTCATGGTTGAGCTGCACTTCTAAAGGACAAGGAATTAGTCTTTTTGCCTTGGGTGGGCTGTAATTTCCCTGTTTTTACATATGTTTCTGATCTATGAGCAACAGACCAATTCACTGCTCCCTTTCCACAAGACAGACAGTTCCATTTGTGCCAGCATAACACATCTGTAGTCCACTGCCACTTTCCTAAATATCAAGTAAATTGTTATTTGGATCCCCTAATTTTACTATACAACTATATTTTAGTGCTCATAAAGGAATTCCATTGTCTTGATGATATCATCTCCGCCTTTTTTTCTGAATGCATATGCCCCAAACTATATATTTTTTCTTTTTAATGAGATTTTAACATCACTTTTATGGGATAATATGGGATAAACTCTACCCTGTCTAGAAATAAATTGTTTCTGGTGTTTGTTGCAGCTAGCAGAATAAGGTTCAGCCCAGCATATTCAGCAACATAATTTGAGGTGTTGTATTCTGTTAGGGATTATCAGCATGAAAACAACAGGACCTTATTAAGTTCATTTCTTATGAGTTTTGACTTGTTTACATCAAGAATGTTGATTTTACAGTTTAAAGCATGCATGGTTCATACATGCATTTCTGCTTAGTGAATAAAGTGTTAATGTTGGTTGCTTGTGTAATATTTTGAAAGCTGTACAGTGTAATACATCTTTACAATTTCATACATTTAAGGAGCTGTCTCAAAGTACGCAAACAAAGCAGAATTATCTCTGCTCTTACTAGGAAATCACATCTGTGAAACATCTGATTCAATGCTTATCTTTGAGTAGTTGCTTATGACAGAGGTCACTGTATGTTTTCTAATGTTTTTAAAACTTCAGTTAAGTTAAAGTTCATTAAATGAAAAGATCACTAGGAAGAAATGTTAAGACAGATTTCTTAACCCATATACTCAAGGGGAGAAAAAAAGTAGTCACCATTTATCACTGCTTGAAGCAGGACAGATTTCTCAGACAAAGAAAATCTGGAAAGCAATCACAGTTTAGCAATTTCCTGGTGCCTTTCATCTAAACACTATGTAATACTAAATAAACATTAATGAATTAAGTTGCTTAATGTATCTACAAAGTAAGTACTATAAAGAAGTGTACTTACTTTTTTGGCAGATGTCCTAGTACCTTAAAGTTGCCTGATCATAAAATGATCCAGAGCAATAATTGTGAGCCATCAAGAAAAAGTTACACATATATTCATAATCTACAGAGTGTTTTGTGAGAAGCTAGGCAGAAAACACTCTCAAGATACTGATGGTATACCAATTTTAAATGTATATAGTTTCTTGATTAAAAGAAAAAGTCAAATTTTAAGAGGAATTTTAAGAGGTTTATTTTAAAAATCAACTTTATTCTTTATCTTGTTATCTATTGGTAAAATCTCCTTTTGTCACCTCCAAGAGCCCTTGAAAGCCCTGTTTCACAGCTTTAGAATTGCAAGACTAGTTAAAAAAAACAAAGTGGAAATTCAAGTTACAATTCTCTATTCTGATTATTTAACATATTTATGCTAGATTTTTTTTAAAAAGTAATAGCTTGAATATTGAAAACATATCTGGATATACTCACTTTACAGTTCTTGGAATGCTTGGAAAAGAAGCGTTTTAGGATCAATGTGTAATGATCCTAAATCTTATGTGGATACTTTCTTACTGATGAAGTGCATTTAATTTCTTGAAGATTTTTCTAGAATTCTTTCAATTTCTTTAGGAAATGTCAGTACATGCAAATAAAATAAAAGTTGTCTGCAATTATGTATTATATAATGCAGCACATCATTATATAGCTTTAAAATGTCCTCTAACATCATTACAAATCAGTACTTGGAAAAAAAAAGTTTTTTCCTCCCCAGATAACCAGTTACATATTTTCATAATTCTATTAGAAGATCACAAAAATTAAGAACTGGACTCAGACTGTAACATCCCATTCATTTCAAAGTATATACTTGCTGCATTCAGGATCATTTTTCTTCTAAAAACAAATGCCTCAAATTAACGCATTTCTCCAAAAAAAAAATGCAAAATTTACTAACTGTAGAAAAATGTCAGCAATAAAACATTATTGGAAACATTTAAAAAATTAGCACCAAATCCTTGGCTTTGTTATCTCAATTCAATTCTACTAAACATGACAACAACATTTTGTTAGATTGCAATGATACTCTCTTGCCATGTCTCGGTACATCAAGAAAATTTGAGAAAAATTACCTCTGCAAGCCACTGAAATAAATTTGCATGAACCACATATTCATGGTTTTAAAATAAATAAGTCATAAATAACAATAGGACTAAAACTAAATACAATTGAATATGTATTATCTTATTGTATGTGTGTTATTTTTATTGTTTTTCAAAGGATAACTTGCTTTCAGGCTTTTGGCTCACATTTATACAAAGCTCTCTTCCATATTTGTGCATAACAGGAAGGAATCCACAAGTCTGGGCTTTACTAGCTGCTGAAAATCTGAATCTTCAAGTCCATCAGGACTCATAACTGCTAGTCTTCGTAAGGCTGCCTACAGAAAAGAAAAAAAAAAAAAAAAAAAAAAGGATTAAGCTTTGACAAAGTCTTCATTGCAGGAACTCATTGGAACAATTTTCAAATAATAGCCAGGACTAAAAACTAAACAACTCAGGTTTACGGACGCTTTCGCCAAACTCTCACAATTTCGCCAAATCTCTCACTAGTGTCTTCATCGGTCAGATGAACCTCCCCTCAAAATCAGCCATTAAATGACAATTCTTTCTAAGCACATTACTCTCAGACACGAGCGCAAGAACAGTTTGGCATTAAAGGAAAGAATACATGGGTAACAGCTAGAGCACTTCTATTGTAAATGTGTCTCTGATTTGCTGCATGTTTGTCACTCCCTCTGTATCTCAATTCTATTCTCAGCTTTTGTCTTAATTTCTGTCTGACTCAGAAAGTGTCTGCCATTGGAGTTTTATGCAATGCCTATAAACAGATCTTTTAGACAGAAGTATAGTATAAAGAAGGCATTTGGGATCCATTTGGAAACAAGTAAAACTGCCAGTTGTTAGGATTATGAAACCGCATAATACAAATTACTTTGATAATACTGTTGTGTTTAACCTCTCCCTTTTTAAGACATTACTTGTTTTTCTCAACAGAATAAATTACAGCTACATACCTTCTAGCAACCTAGCGCTACAGATGCAAATGAAAAGCAAGCTAGTTTTCTTCAAGAATAAAAACTGTCTTCAAACTAGTAAGGTCCGATAGTTGTGATCAGCAATCCTTTCACTGTTTATCAATGCTACATTAACAGAAGAGTTAATCACCTGCTTCAAAGTACACAAAAAGTAAACAACTAAGCCAAAACCACTAAAAAGTACAAGCATTTGGACCTCAGTGATGATATATATGAGCCTAAGGCAGTATATTTGTTTCAAGCACAACATTTTTGCCATGTTTTTCAGAAAAGTGCCATTGTGCAGTTGCTAAACTATCCAGAGAAATGCTGAGATGGATAGGCAGGTAACATCTCAATCAATAGATATGAATTCAGGGAATGTGCAGCACTAACTCAGTGAGACAGGGCAATAGAAAAATCAGTCTTGTTTGCTGCCATCACTCTGTGGCCTCTGCTCAAGCCATACAAGATAAACCTGTCTTTTCAGCACACATGCAGAATAACCACAGTATTTCTTACGATCACTTTCAAACCCTCTTCATCATGAATGGGTCCTGCTTAAATGAACAAAAACTTCTCCTATACACATACAAAGCAAGGTAGGTAATTGTAGCTTTGATTAACACCAATATTTACTTTGGCACTACAATAACATTATCATAATAAATAAGTAAATAAATACAAATAATACAAATATATATTATATATTATATATATATACACACATATATATATGTATATATACATATATACACATATATGTATATATACATATATATATAAATACAAATAAATACAAATAATAAATACAAAAATAAAAACACTGTCAAGCAATATTCTTCACCCATGTCCCCAGAGCACTTTCCTCTTGCAGCATACTACATGAAATTACTCAACTCCAGCAGCGGGCTGGGGCTCATAGTCTACGCAGTATAGGGCCAGCAACTAGGATTCTTCTCCTAAGCAGAGACAGTGTTAACCTTCCATTGGCCACTCCTTGGCTAAGCTCTATGTTGTCTTAGAGACTCAAACAGGAAAAAAAAAAAAAATAGACTGTAGTGAAAGCAAATCTCCATTACTCTCTTTGGCTATTTTATTTATTTGCATGCATATGCATCTGTATGTGTGCACGCACACACAGAAAGGGCTACTACCTCTGTGATTCAAGGCTCATTTCGGCAAAGATAACATCATCAGAGAATGGAATTTAACAATTATTGAAGCTTTAAATTACAAAGTTGAGTGCTCAACAATATGAAGTTGAAGATGTTTTTCACATGTTCGCCTAAAACTTCAATTAGAGGAAGAATAACTGAGACTGTACAGGATTATACTTAAGGGGAAAAGCAGGAGGCCCTGGCATGAATTTAAAACATTTTTTGCAATACTTATGCATTTTGAAGTCTAAAGCGCTGGATTTTATGCATTTTTCAGGATAGGCACAATAAAAAGGTACATACCAGACATGCCACTAAAACAGAATCACTGTTATTTCTTTCAGTTGGTGATCGGCAAAGTTTAATTAGGCGAGGAATACCTGCATGCACAAAAGAATATTGAGATAAACAATTCAGAAACACAAACTAGTTAACTGAGATAAAAGGATAAAAGGACTTTAACAAAAAGTATAATATTTACATTCCTTACCAAATATTACCTCCAATGCCAAGATGATGTACAAATACTTAAGAGACTTTCCATGGAGCTAGCACTTCACAATTAATACTTGTAAATTGTAAACAAAGATATGCATTGTTTTTAACCTCTGTTGCTCCTTCAGAATTAAAATCATTATTCCATTCCTTCCCCAACTATCCTCCCCACATGCCTTTAAAAAACTCCGGCCAAAAGAACATGTTGCCTCCCAGTAGATTCAGCACATCTGAACCTGCTTGGGTCCAAGTTTTCTGTTCATTGATGGATACTGCACAAGTATCCATTCATGGTTTAAGTAAAGGAATGCAGGAGGTAGCATGGTTAGTTGTCACAGTCTGATACACCTATGCATTGAGTGGAAGCTGCATCTCAGGCTCCTTTAGGAAATGAACCAGAGGTTCATTTAGAAGAACCTCCTAACCCTCTGAACAGATTTTATAGGGAGCTTATTCCACAAACTGTACCAAGTGAGGCTAAAAAATAAAAAGAGCTCCTCCTTGACAGTTCTTCCCTCGTTTTCAGTCTCATTAAGCTAGTGAAACATCCTTACAGCTGAGTTTTACAGCTGCATCTGCCACTTCAGGATCTCGGCTGAGTCGTGCCAGCGTAACCGCAGATTTCTGTTGGACTCGCTCACAGGCAGCAACTTCTGCTGTATTTCCTGAAGATGACTTTTCAAAGAGCATTTCCATTAAAAGTTGAATACCTAGAAGGATGTAAGAGCCATTGTTAGCCTCTTTCAAATATAAATAAATAAAAGCAGTCCAAAAAAGTAAAGAGAAAAAGCAAGTTAGGTAAATAGAATTACTGCCTGAATAGTACACGAAGAATGCATAACTGTGGGCTCCAGCTTTGCCATCAGTATTTAGGCACAACTAATCTGTGTGAAGTTTGTTTTCACTAAGAAGCTACAGAACTTTTGGAACTAGAAAATGCACTAGCTCTTCCCTCTTCCATTCAGGCTGCTTTGAAACAGCCTGACTGGAGTCCAGTAGTTACTATTTTACACTGGCTATAAAAAAATATTTAAGAAAACAAAATGATTTCTTTATTTGCTTCTAAACTAACCTAAATGTAATCATTAACCTAAAAAACAGTAAGAACGTATTTCAGGTTTCTATGTGATGTTTGAATTAAAGGAAAATAAAAGTTTGGTGTTTTTTTTTGTTTTGTTTTGTTTTTGTTTTTACAGTTTACGTATTTTTAAGCAAATCTTTAAAACCTTCTGTCTCAAACTATTTAAAGTAATCTGCATTCTAAAAACCCCTGATGAGGCAAATGATGAAGTTCTGCTTCTTGAAGTTTACTATGACTATTCTTCATTTCAGAGGAGACAATGTCAGCCAGTCACCCATATCATATTTTTTTTAATCAATTTACAGTTGCCTGTAGGAATTGATATTCTTATTGCAGTAGGACAAGACCAGATGAGACTGCACTGGTTTATATTTTCTAAATTATTTTAAATGTAAGGACAATTATGTGCTATTAAACTCCATATGCCATTAGGCATTCAGATTACTTTAGGTAGCATCTGAGGATTTTAACAGTTGGAACATTTGCATAAACAATTAAAAGAATTAGCACCAGAATGACGCAGCTAGATAATAATCAATTGCCTTCCAAAAAAAAAAAAAAAATCAAAATTGGGAAGAAAACCCTTCGAGACTCTAAGATTTGAAGACCGCTCTCAGTAGCACATACGTAAACCTGGCTTCTGACCAGCATCTAATTATTATAGTGTTAGTCAGACACAGAAGCTTTTATACACAAGAAGAGTGCCAACCCTTCTAGAAAGCCTGGGGGCAAATGCTTCTGTGTGGACTTGCATGAAGTGTATACGCAAACTTTGCTTTATCTCATACATACTTCCATTAATTAAATGTTTCACTGAGGGAGGATGGAACAGAACACCTCTGTTTTCTTTTGGGAAGAAGAACAGGTTCTTTGGCACTATATACTTCTTTTTTATTTTGGTCCAAGTCATGCTTACAGCTCACCAGTGGTGTGAGTGCACACAGATCCAATGCAATCTGTGATGAATATTCAACAACTTGCCCAAATATTTCCACAATTATTTGCACATGTTAACAGCAATGTCCTGGTCCTACAAAGCACAGCACGCTTGGCTGTCTTTTTATGATCTTTCTGCACTTGTGGGAACATGATCAAACAGCTGTCAACAAAGCAGTTCATGTTGTGCTCAAGGAAATAGATCCTCAAACTACATGATCAACTTGTTAATTAAAAAGGAGTGCAAAAGTTTCCAGGACGTTATCTGGATTCTGGGTGCTAACAACAGGAAGTCAGAAAAAAATATAACTTGAACAGAAATCACCAACAGGGTGTTTTCTACCCAATCTGATAATTACAAAAACCTACAGACCTGAGGAAGTCAGGGTCTCATCAAGAGTTTCTGGGAAAGACTCCAGGGAGGGAAACCTCATGCACCTGCACCAAGAAGTCCAGGAGCACCCACCCAACCTCTAGGAACATGGAGAGCATGACAGAAACCAGCATATGGACCCAAATGACCCCTCTCCAGGACTGGCCCTCCACTCCCATGGAACAAAGACATTGTGTAAGAAACCTACATGCTAACTTACCTGTCTTCTCCCCCTTACTGCATTATTTTCTACATGGGACAGGGAGGTCATGTAATTTGTACAATTGCACACATCTGTGATGGAAGTGCTTTGGTAACAAAATATATTCAACCTCCACATTTTCATTTAGTCTCAAACAGCAATACATTTTCACACGTAAATACACCTTAGCAAGGACATCAGATGCACACTACCTCTGTGCACACATGGATTCCATCTATCAAATAATCCTTACCAGTTGTACTTGTATGCGCAGAACTCAAATTTTCCATTGAAATATGGAAATAATAAAGAACTAAATCCAATATTACATAACATTGACTATTTCAAGACCCACTTCTATATGGATGCTGAAACCCATCATCACAAGATTCAAATAGATCCAAACTCAAAACCACTCCTACACAAACATTAATTAAAAGACTACGGAAGGGATATGCCTAGAACAGAAAAGGTAATATATGTGAAGCTTCACAATATTTGAATGTCTCCCACTGACAGGGGTGAAGAAAAAAGCTTACAATATTGCTTGGCCATGAATTTGTTGGTAAGTATATTGATAAGGCAGATATGTCTTCCACAGAATTATTAACCTAACTGGTCAGACTTCTGGTGGGTCCATAACACCTAGTTCTTTTCAATATCATGAATTTCTCCTAGTATGATATTTAAAGGACTGGGGCGGGGGGCAACTGCTGTTCAGTAATAAAACCAATACATTTGTACCTCTGAATACCTATGAACAAAGGAACAGAAACTATACATGGCTCTGTATCAGATGATATCTTCCAATGTGTAAGAATTGATACCTTACACAGTGTAATTATAAGAATAAAAATGTTGAAACTCTTCCATACTACCTTGCGTTGTGCATCTACAAATAAACAGCATGCACATACACACAGAATCAGCGATGTGGCCTTACATGCAAAGTCTTCTAAACCAGTGGTAAATTATTTCAGTTACACAGAACTCTCCCAAGGACTCATTCTGCACCCTGCAGCAATATGCAACATCCAACAGAGACAAGATTCAAAGTGAAGTATTATTAGTGAAGTCTTTCTCCTTTACCTTGTAAATAATCCTTTCCTTTCAAACGTTCTCCACAAACATACAAAATGTAATTCAGCCAAAATACATACCATTTCCTTGAATGATTTCTGAAGCACATTGGTCCAAGACAGACATGTTTGCCATTATTGTTACCACCTGTTTTTAAAAAGAGAAGGAAACACTAAGTATGGTGTTACATTCACAAATACTAACTAAATAGCATTGTGATTTATAAAATTAGTATGGCAGAAATATGGAAAAAAAAAAAAAAAACCAGTAAAAATTAAAAGCGTTCTTGTAGGAGAACACGCTATTCCCACCTCTGGTTTCTCAGGAGCCTCTTACGTAAGGCTGACAATTGAAACCAAGACAACAAGAAAAATAATGTTTTTTTTTCTCACACTCCTATACTCATGCAGAGATGCAGAGAAGTATGTTAGAGCGTTCTATGCAGCAGAAAAATTGTTTCAGTGGTCAAATCAGAAGAAGATAAGCATTTATAAAAAAAAAAAAAAAAAAAAAGGAGTTCTACAAAGAATTCAGCCAAGAGCTGCCCGTACTCAGGAGCCAGCCCTGCAGTCCCATTCCAGCACAGACAATGCTCACAGGACAGGTTAAGGACTAGCACATACCATACGTTCAGTACCGGTACATTACTGCTACCTTTCTACTTCAGGGTTTGGCTTAAACTTTGAGGAACACTCACAAAAGATCTGAAAATTTTAGCCATAATTCACGATTATTTAAGGAATATTTTTCAGTCTTAAAATCTTATTAACATGCACAGAGATTATGTGCATTAGAGCACTGTCCCAACCAGAGCTGGTCCTCAGAGTCTGTTTACATGTTTCCTGAGCTAAGATCAAAATTAGGTTTTGCACCAAGAGAAGCACATTGTGAAGTCACAACTTATGGAATTTCTTATCCAAAATAGTATTAACTGTTTTCAAGATTAGGTGCAATACAGCTTGCTTTAAGTGATACAGCAGCCACTGACAGAGCCTGGATCATTTAGACCTGTTGGCTTGCAGTCATTCCTTTCACTGATATTGTATAGTTTCTTTCATAAATCCTGCACAATAGTCTTTTATACTTTAGTCTTCAAATAAATCACTTCCTACATGAGAATACATCTCATTATTAACAGCACATGTGAGAGACCAAATAATAAATGTGACATATCATTATAACACAAAGCAGAAATAATATTTTTCCTTAAAATGTTACTGTTTTCTAATTGAGAAATACTGATCAGCCTCAAAAATAATGATCAATTTGAGAACTGGTTACGACTTAACTGTGTAGCACTTGCTCACAAACAAGCAAACTTCTTAGACAGATGTAAGTAGATCAAATCACAGTTCTGATCTCACTTTGCCATTTTAATAACAAGGATGACTCATTTTCAATGATGTGACATAAAGGTCTTCCACTTTCGAAGTCAGTGTTACAGTGTCATCTCTCTGAATAAATATATGTACTTAGGATGCAAATGAGTTGCTGAAACTCTAAAGAGTGACAGGTAGAAATATGGTAACTCAGTCTATGTCTATGTATTTATTCCATATTAATTATTAACACTGTTTCAGGCAGAGTGTATATGTTTTCTCATTCTAAATTATATCCTGTTAATGAAAATTACTTCCTCTATGCAGAATATGTACCTCATGTGGCTCTCTAAGCCACAGATGAAGAATTCAATTAACCACAATTTGAATATGTGCCAATTATTCCACCGCTTCAAGTTATTTTGTCTAATAAGTATTTTCATATGTAAAAATATTTTGTGTATATCTTTTGACACCAAAAATTATTTGAGTGATGGTTACATTTATACTTCAGACTCCTTTGTGTTGATTACATGGCCCCTTTATTTTTCAATGTATTTATGAAAAAGTCTAAACGTTTTGTATGTAGCCTTGTCCAGAAAGGTTTATGTAAGACCCTTCTTATCAATAACATCCAGGTTTTACCTAAATTGCTTTTTAACACCTTAGGATTCTAAAGGCAGTTAAACTATAGATTAACATACTTCATATGGATAGATTTTCTTTTCCCAAAATGTCACGTTTTCCTGTGACGTAAACAAGGTAAACATGAAATAGCATAACATAAACACATAAGAGGCAAGGTGAATAGAGCTGACTTAAAATTTTATTTCTCCTATATTTGCCTATTTTAGAATTCACTATATATGCAGCTTACATGAAAATTTCCTCTGTAATAGAGACCAGAGTTCAAGGAAGTTTAATTCCTTGATGAACCCTCTAGGGGAAAACAAACTTGTATGTAGACTCATTTTGCTTTGAAGAGCAACACTTCTTTGAGCACTGGTATTAATGAAGCAAGATTTCCTTTGGATTTAGAGTTGACTGCAAACCATAAACAGAACTTTTCCAGCGGCATCTCTCCCAGTGTAGATTCTTTTTGTCTAATGATGCTTAGGCTCATGCTGCAGTCTCTGTCTAAGCCTTTCTTTTCCCATTATCTGTCCCCAAATTCCAAAAACCCTTAGGCAAGTGTCTCAAACAAACAAACAAACAAAACTGTGAAGCCCTGATGAATTGTTAAACCAGTTCAGATGTTATTGTAAAACATGGAGCATACAAAGATAAAAGTTATTGCCATGGGGAAAATGGACGAAAATTACTAGGAAAAAAAAATGTTGATAGTGAAAGAAGTGAAAGAATTTAGAAAGCATTTTTAATTATTTAGGAATTAAAATAAAATGAAAATATTTAACATGGGTACTCTAGTATTCCACTGCAATATTCTATATCAATTTCATTATTTTTTAAAGAAATATCTTGAACAAGACTACTCTCCAAGATTATAGAAGACTGGTACCTGTGCTGGTTTAGGATTCTTGGAATTTCTCTGGATTCCTAAGCCACGCAATGACCTTCTAAAGCTTAAAGTACAAAAAAGAGGTTGTCCTTGACAACAGCACACACAACCTCTGATCAGCTGTTGTTGCGATGACACCAGGGAGAAACTATATTCTGAAGCCTGCAAATTACACTAACCCTAGCAATATACTGAAATATGAAGTCTGTAAATTATTTTTTTCCAGAAAACAAACAAACAATATTGCTTCATCATATGTGGATTGTTTTTAATGTAATACTTGATCTCATAATCTATTGTCAATATGTATGGTATGTCCTGGAGCTAGGTCCTGATCCTTGCATCTCTGTTATCTGTACTAATATTGCAGATCCCTCCAATAGACTAACCCAAGCTAAGTCCATATTCTGGTCTCTGTTGTCCAGACTGATCAAAAATTTGAGGTTTTTCTCTAATGGCAGGAAGACTTTTTATAACCCCGGTGACTGCAGCTTTCTCTGCAGAACTGGTAGCCCTAAAACCATGGGCAGATGCTAGTTGCAGAGTCAGGGGTCTCAGAGTCTAGATCTCTATTGGATGCACTAAGGAATGATGCAGAATTCAGCCTTCCAATTCATGGGGTGCATAGGAAAAGAATTATAAAAAATAAGTTAATAAAAGAAATAAAAATCCATAAGCCTTGTTCCGTGGTTAGATGTGCCATCAACATGACATCATTAAGTATAGGAGGAGGAGGAGAAACTCTTGCCGAAAAATTCACTTATTGCTAAACTATTTAAGAATACTCCCATATGGAAAGATAGACATTTTTCTGATACTGCTTGGAGAAGGTAAAATGACTGACCATACAATTCAGACCTTTCCACTTTGTCACTAGTTTAAAACTATGTCTGTTATACTGTGCCTGAAACCACTGGTCTGTCTTTCTTTCACTCTATGCTATATTATAAGGTAAAGAAAACACTGAGGACAGTTTTGGAGGAGCTGAAAAATAAAAATATATTGTTGCATGTTGAGAGAGTGAATTCAGATACACAGATCCCATGCAGAGCAAAGTAAGTAGTAGTCTACATCCAGATTTATGTTCATCTAAACTTCTGGAAGTTTTTAAAACTCTAATTGATTTCCACTGTAGAGCTTGCTTCTTTGTAAAGCAAAATACATAACTTTTACAAAGGAATACTCAGGATACAAGCAGAAAAGCAAATTTGTCTACAAAGGAGCATTACAACACCCAAGCTGACTTCCTGTGTTCACAGGATCTTTCATTTATGAGACTACTTATCTGTTTAAGATATATTTAACTCAGTATCATTTTTAAGCAAGACTTTGTCTTGATATGATGATATAGAAAATGCAGAACCTGCCATTTCCCTTAATATTTTTCCCCCCATATTGGTTGTAACTGCTTAGTTTTAATTTTAATATTTGTTTCTTCTTGTTCTTTTTTTTGGTTTGGTTTGGTTTCGTGGCTCTTTTTCATTCTTTCTTTGTCACATCAAGAGCTTAGCTTATTTACCTGAGTTCAGTGTCTAGCAAGTTACCTCTTAATCTTTATGGTAAATTGCACTGTGTGAGCTCTTCAGTTCTTAATTTTTCTTAGTAATAAATTGCCTAATTGTCACGTACCACAACACGAAAGCTGAATAATTCCGGTCAGTGTTACATGATATGCACTACTAAAAACAACCAGTAGAACAGGCCTCTGAGGTTTATCCCTGTATTCACCACCCAGCTGTTAATATGTGCTATGCACTGCCCACCTAAAGCATGTCACAGTGAGAAGTAAAACACAAAATGCTAGGAAGAGAATTGTCAGAAATGTTTCTATTTTAGCACCTCGAGAAGAGGCACCAAATTATCAAAATCTTAAAATGCACCTACTCCCATTAGGATTAGCATGATTTTTCACAAGGTTAAACTGAGAATAATGATCTCATTTTCAGAATTTAAAAACTATACCTAAAATTAAGAGCATTGAAAAATCACCTTTAAACCATATGCTAGTGAAATAATTATAGACGTTTTTGTTATTTTTGAATAGATGGGAGCAAGGGGGCTCCCATCTAGATCCATGGAAGTGTTCTCTATTTAATAAATAAATGCACTTAAAAATAATGGAGATTTCAGACTTTCAAAAGTCAGTTAGCCTCACAGTTGCCCTGGAAATTAAAAACCTGACTAAAATTCACTATTTCTATAAGCAGAATAAGTAAGCAGATAATAAACGCAGGCACACCCCTCTGCAGTGACAATGTTATCCATTGTTATAATTGGCAGTGTTAATGTCATTGGCTACTCCAATAAAG